GGGCCAACACTTTTTCACACCACTGTATATATATATATATATATATATATATTTTTTTTTTTTATTTTATTTTTTTTTTCCATCAATCTAACACAACAGCTGTTGAATACACACTGTATATGAAATTAGACAACGCACCATGACCTGTACGGTCAGCTGAGACAGTTCAAGGTTCAGAGGTTACCTTGTTCTTGAAGCTCTGCTCCACTTCCCATAGCTGGGCATGTCTTTCAGACACAGCAACCTTCACCACATCCTGTTTCTTATTTATCCTGTTCCTCCAGTCTTCCTCTCCACTCTTCTTCAACAGAGCCAGCCTGCGAGAGACACAATCATGTGTCATCATGAATTCTTGAATGAAATGATCGAAAAAAATCTTATATACACTTTTAAATGCTATTGTAGATGCATTTACTAATTATTGTGTAAACTTTTAAATTTCTTAAAAACATTTAATGGATGAGAAGGACCAGATAGTGAAGCAGCTAACAAGAGCCAAGCATGCTTGGGAACTCCTTCAACACTGTTGAAAAGCAATCCAGAATGTCTATTTGTAATTTCCAAATGTATATCTATGTATATTAAAAAACAAAACAAACAAAAAACAGTATATTGAAGAACAATTAGGTGTGTTGAAACTTTTGACTGGGATTGTGTAACTAAACATTCATGACAAACAGAAATTTATATTGCATATTTATCTCTGTGGAAAAGTAAAAAAAACAAAAACAACAACAAATAGGCATTTTCCATGCTCATTGACATGCACTAAACTCTTTTCAAGTGTGGCTACATTTTTTGTATATATGCAGATGAGTGGTTTTCTTTATGTCATTAATCAATTTGAATAGCTTGCATCAGCTTGCTTACTATGGCAACAGACAAATGCCCATCCGTTACACAATACTTTGATCTCAAACCGGACACAGCAGTATAGCTCTTACAAAACTAAACAAACCAATCTATACAGAGTTATACACAATATAGTGTTACATGGAACTGGAATATGCTACACTTAAGTTTTTTTTTCTAATATCTGTCCCCCTCCATCTGTGTGCTTCCTGTCAGACCACAACACAAGGAGGCAGTCAGATGGCACGAAGACATTACCGCAGCATCATTACTATCGACAATGACCTAATTTATAGTCAAAAATGTTATGCAAGGACTTGGAGCATCTGATGTTTCCATTTCTAATGTAATTTTTATCCCAGCTCTCATTCTAAATAGAATTATTGAACTGACATATATTCAAAATACACACAGTGCAACCCACTTTCCCCAAATAGTCAAAAGTCTAAGGCAACCTTGTTTTACACAATTTACAATATCCTGCTTTATACAGAGATAGAAAGATATCAGTTTTCAATATACATCTATAGGTATACATTGACCTACGCAAGAGAAAACACTTACATATGACATTCTGCTGACTTTTTTTCATATCACCACATCATAAACTTCACAAACTATTCAAAGATGTCATTTTGGATATTTAATGCTTTCATACACTCACCTCTCTTTGATGGACATCTGTCTGGCAGACATGATGTCTGAGAACTTGTCTCCCTCCTCTGTTTTAAAGTCAGTCTCCTGCTCGTCTTCTTTCCTGTTGTCCTCCGAGAGGTGTCCGGCAGACTCTGTGTGCATGTGCGGTGCGAGAGAGCCGCTCCGTAAAGAGGATGAGCCCTGCGATACAGCTGCCACTGCACGTACTGCGGCTGTGTGCACAGGAAGAGGGTTAGAGTAGCCCCAGTGATACAATCAATAACAGCTCAGTGACAGGCGGAGCCACCACAGACACATACAAACATAGCCAAACTCTCTCACACACACTCAGTCCTATCAAGAGCTGATGCTCGCTTGAGCATGTGAATACACATAGTAAAACTGATGAATATGCAACACAGGAAATGAGTGTCAGTTTCTAAGCATAAAGGGAAGTTTTGTTGCTCATGCTGTGACCATGTGGCTTAGACAGACATCTTTGTCTTTTCAAATGGGGAAAAGTTTAAAACCACCAGCCTGAATGACAGACACCAAACAGGAAGACTCTACAGAACAGACACACATCATATCCTATCCACACCAATCAGTCACACTGACATCAGCACAGAACACATGTACAGCAGACACTGCAGGAAACCATCATAACAAGCCATCCTTGATAAAACAGACAGTATATGACTGTGTGAATTGTAGAGTAAGATAGTAAGATGCACATTGTGGGCACAGTAATTAATTTAGGTCTAAGAGGGAAATATGCATTTTTTTTTTCATTTTGAAACGGAACAGTCAACTTAGAACCTTGGGGTAAGATGCAAAAATTTTAAGTGGGCAAATTTTAAATAATATTTTAAATAAAATGTTAAATGATAATTAATTGGAATTAGCATTTAGTAATTCCATATAACTCATCTTAAACTCTTTTTTTAAGATTGTGATTTTGAGATTTGGCAGTTATGATTTTATTCCATTTGAGTGACCTTAAATACATTTTAAAATATTAATGACACTTTTTAAAGAAATGCACTGTTCTGCTGTCTTCCTTTCACATCATCAAATCACAAAATACACAAACTATTCAGAGATGCCATACTTTCATACACTCATCAAAGCACCTCTTCTTAATAAAAGTATGAATTTCTTATATATATATATATATATATATATATACACACACACACACACACACACACATACACACACACACATATATAGAAAGATCTTACTGACTCCACTAAATGTTTGCTTGGAAGTATTATTTTTAATGATATCAGATATATTTGGCATATTTAGTAAATATACAATGACAGCTGTGACTTGACTTCTCTCCCAAGGGGCTATCTGTCCTATTTAGGGGCTCATCTTACCCAAACAGTGAGGCAAAATTAAATTATAACTAAATAAACAACTACTTCCATCAATTTCCCCTAATAATAAAATTTATTGGATGATGCGTCACCAACTTGTACATGTTTCACTGTATGTGTCTAACTATATATCAGTAAATGTGCACTGTTCTTACAGAGAGCATCTTGCCATATTATTAACTAGGAAAAACAGATTAAAAAAATAAGATAAGAGTTAAATAACAATACCTTGAAGTACGGAAACGTATGAGAAGATGTGCCACTTAGAAAAACACATCACCTATATTTCTCTACCTGATATGGCTGCCTTTGACTTGTGCTCTACATCTGTTTCTGAAGGGTCTTGAGGGGTCACCAGAGCCTCATTGTGCCCTTTAAACTCCTCCCAGTCTCTGGCCGGTTGAGCATGTGGTGTCTGTTTCATGCTCTCTGGAGAGGGGAGTTTCCTCTTCCCCATGCTCAATAACTGCTTTTCTCCTTGGGCCACCGGGAACACATCTGGGCCCTGATGAGCAGTTTGAGGTTGGTAAGGTGGGGAGAGGGTCTGCTCATAGTAGGCAGGGCCAGATACATTGGGCATGGTCAGGTGGATGTCACCAGCATGTTCAGTGGAAACGGTTGAGGATCTCAGGGCCGAGGTAGAGGTGGATGCAAAACGAGCTCCACCTGCAGGCTGCAGCTACAAGAGGACAATAAAAGAGAAGGATGAAGAGTTTGAGCAGAAAAGGAAAGGATAGATTTCAGAGTGAACAGTATGAGAAAGAGAAAGAGAAAGATTAGAGCAAAGAGAGAGGGATGGGATGAGAACAAAAAGTGAGTCAGCATGGGCAGGAAACAGCACATTCGTCAACAGTTCATCAGCAGACACACGTCAATCATGCTGACTAATCAGAGGTTGTCTTAGTGCATTTCCGGTAGCTGAAAGGCAAGCATCAAATCAGCTAATAACAAAACCATTCACAAAGCCATGCCCTTTATATACTGAACCCGACTGTTCCCATCATGCCCTCAGAAACAGACACACTGAGTCACAGACACAATCAATTAAATTTAACACTACTGTGTCAGCAGGGCTTTAGGCAGAGTTGTGGTGTACATTCAGAATAAGATAATTGATTTCCAAATAAAGTAAGCATTCAGCACTGACACATTTCTCCTAAAAGCACTCAAAACCTCCCACTCATTCATTAGGGAGTCTTCATAGGCAACAACACAGAACATCTTCAATGACAACCACTAAACCACAACCAACTTTCCTTAGAGAACTGCTTGATCACAATGCATGGAGTGTGACAATTTAAATATTCATAATAGTAAGTATAGAAATTAACAATAATGAATAGAGGTTGGCAGTATGTGGGAAATGTTACTTAAAAGCAGCAGTGTCTTTTTACAGCTGAAAACAACAAAGTACCTCTTTATCTTTTTTAAGTAACATTTTGCATTACAATACAGTTTGGTTTGTTGGGTCATATTGCTTTTTCACCACAAACAACCACCCCAGAGTTTTCAATTGGGCCAAGACTCGATCAGGTGATGCTAGAAACGATTATTTTAGTAACAGCACGTTTACTGTGTTCATATAAGTCTAAATTAACCAAACTAAGTGAGAAAGTCCTAAAAATGGGCTATAATAATAGCCCATAGTGATTAGAAATAGTTCTTTCTTGATTATATACACATTCCAGTGTGCATTTTCCACAATTTTTCCATGCTTAGTCATTCTCTAATCACAGAAAGCAAAACACACTATAGCAAATTTCTTTGCAGAGTAACCCAGCACTAATGATGTTTATACATAAAACACAATAAACAAACAAAACATCACATCTGTTAACATTTCTCAACTCCATTTCAAAAGCACAAAGACTGCGAAGCCAGTACTTGATCTACCAGCAATCTGGAACTACATTCACAAACAGACGCATTTACCTCCATGCCTTCTTTGGGGTTGTACGATCATCTAAGCAAGATGCTTAAAAGAAATGCCTGAATTCAGCCTACTGGCACATAGGGACATATATGCTGAAGCATTAGGACAACTGCTTCTAAGACACGGGACAATGGTTTTACTGCAGGCTGAGTAAAACCTTGGTTTCTACGAAATATCATACAGTTCTAGAGGACTCTGGTATCCTCACATGTTCCAGATCACTCAGAAGCTCTGAGAACTCCGATTCCTCGTCAAACATCTCAGAATCAGAATCATCCTGCATCAGAGACAAACCCCTTTAAATGTTCAATAGTATGTGTCTGTGTGTGTAGAACTAAGATTGATTACATGTCTGTGGATGTAATACTTCAACATATGCCCAATAAACTTAAATCAGGGTACACGGTAAGAGTGGGCGATATGAGCAAAAATATAATAACAATATTGCTTAACATTTCGGTTGATAAGAAAAAAATCCTTATGACATTTTCCAAAATAATAGTAGACCTATTAAAAATGTGAAAGTCTAATGACACAATATAAATGTATGGTTATTATAGATTAACTGAACAACCCCACATCGTTGTGTATCTGGGTGTTGACTGTTCAATCAACAAAAAAAAAACAATCACATTAGCTTTCGAAAGTTTGCTGAAAGACTGTAGGGACGTACTTTAATCCTTCACAGACTCATTTTCACTTTTTATACAGTGAAATGTAACATAAAATAGGTAGAAAACAGAACATGAATGGTAGTGAACCGATGCAACTTTTGCAGTAGGTCACGACAATGACAATATTACGAATATAATGCATCTGATTTCATTCACGCTAATACTATACAGAACATAATTTTGAAAGGCTGCAAAGTAAGTATTAAAAACAAAAAAGTACCTACTCAGAGTATGTAATTTCAGGATCAGCCTGCAACTTCTTAACCCCCGATTTCTGACTTGCTTTATAGCTTCATTGTTTCAGTCTTTTCTATTCTCCTCCAGTATTTAACTGACATACACTATATGGCCAAAAGCATGTGCACACCCAAAGATCACACCCATATGTGCTTAATTTAATGACCAGTCATGATTCATGATTTAAATTACACGATGAGTAATGCACTAAACTGATACAATTCTCAACTGCGACATGAATAAGCATGGTCTAAGTGTTTAATGAAGAGACAGAAATGTTGCATACCTGGTCAACCTCTCCTAGTGTGATTGGCTGAGTCTGGTAGCGAGCATTACTCCTACGTGACTGAGTGTCTCCCCTGGCCCGAAGGCCGTGGCTGGACGGCTGTGCCAGGCGGTTGAAGAGTGCCATCTTCTCTGCCAGACTGAGCGTGGAAAGATCTGGCTCCTCTTGGCCATCCTCCCCTGGAGATGCATGGCGAGCTCGATCCGACTCCACTGCCTCCTGAGCCAGCCGAACCTCTCTGGCCTGCTCCCTCACCATGGAGCTCTGCTGAGATGAAGCCTGCAAGCTGTAGTGCACATCAACACCAGACCGTTCAGGGACACTCAATGTGTTTCATATTAATTCCATTATATCACCTGTAAGGCAGGGCTGCATAACTGTATTTATCATATATAATTATGATAATACTAAAGAATCACAACATTGTGTAAATAACTACTTACATAAACTTGGATTAAACACACGTGCATGCATAGAAAATACAAGCAATCGTGATTCATGTTACAGTATGAATAAAGCATTTTGGATGTGTTGTTCATTCAGCAGTCCATTTATCAACACAAATGAATAAATGTCTGTGTTAAATCATTTTCAAGGACAAATGAAACATTTCTTCATATTAAGATTATAGTAGCATGTGAAGATAAACATGTCATGCAGTTTATATGCTCAACATGTTGCTGATGAAGCAAAAAAACACAAGCAACTTCACTCGAACCCCTCCAAGCAATGTGTCATACTTTCACAAGTAATTCAGACGCATTTAACAACTGTTACCATTTCATGACCTTACAAAACATTAATAACATATTATAGCTCAACACAAGTCAGTGATGATCAGGATAAGTTTATTTGTAGTCATGAAATTGTGGGTGTGCTTTTGAAATTCTCACTCTTAATTCTAGTAACGTAAACTAATGATCTGTATTGGCCTGAAAATACCACAAGATGGTGCTGGTTCTTAATTTGACTTTTCAAAGTTGTAAATAAAACAAAAAATTTTGGAGTAGTTCATGCATTCATGACCTCTAGACTGGACTATTGTAATGCTCTCTCTGTTTAAATCTAGAATAAAGACACATCTCTTTGGCCAAGCATTCAAATAATCCATCTCATAATCTTGTACTGCAGTTATATCTGATCAAATGCACATTATTATTCTTTAGCTTGGGTTAAACAAATCAATTTTGCTTGGTTGGAACAGCAGCTATGCTAATTATGTCTATTTGTTTCTCTGTTTTTGCCAAGGGATCTCAATGATGCATGACTCTAAAGAAATACAGACATTTTTGTAAAGACAAATCTTTGAACATGCAAGCTCTCAGTGACAAACATTAGTATTGATAAGAGTGACCATGCCTGTATTACACACACACTCATGGGAGTGTCTGTATGTGTGTCCTGGGTACCTGGATTTGGTCACAGAGCTGCTGACTAGAGTGGGACTAGGAACACGCGTTACAGAGGTTTGTACAGTCACGGACTGTGACAAATGGCCAGGGACACTTTAAAGCACACAGAGTAGAAGGAAAGAAACAGAGACACAGGAAAAAAACTGAAGGGAACTGAAGAAAAGAGATCATAGCTACATACACCACACGAAAGAAAAGTAAGGGATAGAATTTAAAGGAAAATTTTAGCAAATGGCTGCAATATAACAAAGAGTGAAAAATTTAAGGGGGTCTGAATACTTTCCGTACCCACTGTACTTCTATTCTATTCTATTTATAGCACACCTGTGCATATAATTTTTGTCTATTTTTGTTTACTTATATATATACATTTGTGCATTTTATTCACATATCTTTACTTTGGTTATCTGTGTGGTTGTTGTCTCTATGTACTGTAAGCTTCTGTCACCAAAACTAATTCCTTGAATATACAAACATACTTGGCAATAAAGCTCTTTCTGACTGATTAATTTGTTGACTGATACATGTACAGTATGTATGCTTACACTACAGTTTGAAATCATTAACTTTTTTCTTTTAAAAGATATAATTTTATTACATTTTAAATTGACCAAAAGTGACAAAGACTTTCACATTGTTACAAAATATTTATACTTAAAATAAATGCTGTTCTTTTGAATAGTCTATTCATCAATGAATAAGAAAAAAAGTTTTACGATTTCTACAAAAATATTAAACAGCACAACCGTTTTAAACAATGTTTCTTGAGTATGAAATCAGCATATTAGAATAATTTCTAAAAGATCACGTGACACTGAAGTTTAGAGCAAATAAATAAATAAATAACATTTTAAAATATAGGCCTATTAAAATAGAAACCAGTTATTTTAAATTGTAATAATTTCATAACATTGCTGTTTTTACTGTATTTTTTATCAAATAAATAGTGAATATAAGAGACTTCTTTCAAAAACATTAAAGGGGTGGTTGACTTTTTTTTTCTAGGCTTGACTGTGTTTATGGGGTGCAGTCTAACATGTGTTAATGCTTCATTTTTAAAAATACACATTATTTTTCACATAATTTACGTTTATTCCACACCGCTCTGTCCCTTCTCCTATTAACGCGCTGATCATTTCCTGCTTTTATGAAGCCCCTCCCTCAGAAATGCATGATGGGCTCTGATTGGTTAGTTAGTCCAATGTGTTGTGATTGGCTAAACCGCCTCTAATGTGCGTCTGTCTACCTGTGCAAGCACGGCTCTTAATGGTATGTTTTTTGTTTGTTGTTGTCTCATACATTTAGATACGCTGTTATTTGTAAATGCTACTGCTTCTGTTAGCTTTGAATACACGGTTTTATCCCAATTAAAGCTTTAATACAGTACGGCAACCGCACGCATATATTTTTGCAGCGTATTACATGTATTTATACATGTAGTTTATACCATGTATAAAGCTTCTCATAGCTATGTGAAAATAAGTGTATAAATGGAACAGTTCATTGCTTGAGCTGAGCTGGTGATCTGAATGAGAGAGAGAGAGAGAGAGAGAGAGAGAGATGCAGAGCGTGTGCAGCAGGGCGACGCGAGGAACATGATTAGAACTTGTGAATCCATTAGAATCGTTAGAAGACAGAATCGCGATTCATATATAAATAGATGTTTTCCTGCACCCCTTGTTTTAACGGCATGGCAACAACTCTTCCTCTTATCTATGGCCTCGCCCCCTTCGTTGCATGTTCCCGGGGACGGGGTTTGTGATGTCACAAACCCGGGAAGTAACTCAGTGGCTACGCAACATTACACACTAACGTTAAAAAAGTGAAATCGCAATCAACCACCCCTTTAAAAAAAGTTACAGACACACCACTGAACTGTAGTTTATATCTTGCCAAATTTTGAAGCTAACAAATGGAAACATTTGGGGGTTTTTTGTGCCCTCAACCTGAATTATTGAACATGTCACATACTATAAAACTTACGTAGCAGCAATGACCACTTCCTCTGAGGTGACTGGCTGAGTGCGGGAGCGATCCTGACCTCTCCTCAGCCTGCGTTCAACAGCAGGGTTACGGCTCCATGCCTTCAAAACTGAACCATCTGAAGTCTTTTCAAGCTCCTAAGAAACAGGAAGGCTTTGTATGAAAGCTTTGCACAATAACTTCTAACAAAATAAATATAAACAAAAAATAAAAACACTAAAATGCTGCATTTGACTTTAAGGAACTTTACTAGCTTGTTCAAGATATCAGATGTTTTTCCCTTTAAGTCAGGTTTCTAATAGACTCACTAAATTGTCATATTTGAGGAATGTGCATGTTTGTATGATGTGAGAGTTGAGGGGTAATGGACTGAGGTGTGTCCTCTTTACACAATTCTTGGAATGCCAAATTAATAAGCATGTACAACCACAGTCAGACAAGTTCTGTTCCAAAAACTAGAAAACTGAAAGTTTAAGCTACATTGTTAGTCACCAATGTCATGTTTCTATCATCAGGCAGGGGGGATTTTCAGAGAAGCTCAGAGAAAATTTAAATTTCATTCAGATGGCAGGATGATTAAGAGTCATGTTTTATTCAGCACTGAAAAGTAACAACTGAATATTGTGCTAATTTAAAATGCAGAAATTCACCCAATATTGGTGTGTTATGCATTTGTGGAGTTTATTAGAGCATCAAATAGTTATCTTAGCAACATGCTAACATCAGACTCCATTGGAATCAACAGAGCTGTGGTCGATTCTTATGTGCACTTCATGTAAGGGACAATATTTGTGTGGTCTGCATAACCACTGGCAGGATTGTGGCCAACACAGAGTGTTTCAAATAAGCCACTTAAAAAGATTTTGGTTAGGATGCTGTCTTTATAGACAGTAGAAAGGAAGCAGCTCACTTTCAGGGTTTGGAACAGAAGCACAGACACACTCAAGCACCACATACTCTGAAAAGAGAGCGCTTGGCGGCTACACTCAGCTTTGCTCTCTCATCCAACTTCTCCTCATCCACTGGAAAAACACAGGAAGGAGAGAAAAAAAGAATGAGTCAGAAGCCTTTTCATGAGAACTATTTCATTAAATCCCAAGACTTTCAGAGGACAAACACAATGCTAAACACATGGTAGAAAGATTACACAAGCAAATTTCTGCTTCTCTACTCCGATTTCACAAAGGTTAACCTTAAATAAGACATAGCAGGGGAACATAAATGCTGTACATCTACCAAATGCAGCGTATTATATTAAAATCTGCTCTAATATAAAGTGTGGCATGATTTATGCAACACTTAAAGGGACAGTTCCCCCCAAAAATGAAAATATGTGACCATTTACTCACCATGTTGCTTCAAACCCATAGAATTTTGGTTAATCTTCAAAATACAAATTAGGTTATTTTTAATGAAACTAGAGAGACTTCTATACCTCCATTGAAAGTTCAGGAAACCAAAACTTAGATTCATGTGCCATTAAGTTTAATTAAAAATATTTTAATTTGTGTTTCAAAGATTAACCAAATTTTAATGTCAAAGTATCAAATAATATTTATTTATTTTTACATCTTGCTCGAGGCAGAACTTTAACTGTTGAAAATGTTAGGGTCAGCATTAATTCAACACGTTTTTATTCAGCAAGGATGCATTAGACTGATTTATTTTTCCCAAATAAATGCTGTTCTTCACAAAGTGTAATAATACTAAAATGTATTATGGTTTACAACAAATATATTAAGCAACACATTTGTTTCTACAATTGTATGTACTATCAGCATATCAGTTTGTATTACTGAGCTGCACACATATGAAACTAATGCAAAAGTTTTGTAATGTTATTGTGTCATCCTACCCAATCACAAAGTTTGTATACATAAGCAGCAACTAAAGGTGTCTAGAGTGACTTTCTATTTTTAATGACACAATAGAAAGATATGCTATATTAAACCTTAAGTGATAATAGAGAATATGTTGTGTATGCAAAAAAAAAAAGACTTGCCTTCAGGGCTCAGTGGTTCAGGGCTTAGATGATACCTAAAGAGAACAAAAGTTGAAGTCTTAAAAAAGGGTTACAATTTTGGATTTTAAAATGATTAGGTCAACGAGCTGACTTGCAATAGTGTAAGCAGACAAAAGCAGCAGCATATTTAGGAAAAAGAGAATCAGGAAAATACACAAAGCAGCTAGTGGGAAAGTGCAGAAAACATAATCAGGCCTGCTTAATCCACAGCGTTTGACAGAATTATAGATCTTAGAATTATATCGCAAATTACAACAAAGAGCCTTTCATAAAAACCACTGACCAATCCTTTGGATTAGAATCCACTACACATAAAAACAGTATACAGTGTGTTAAAGGAGTAAAATTATTTAGTGAGCCAAAAGCTAACTTGAAGTAACCAGTGCATAAATACAGTGCAGTTAAAAAGGGTAAATTAAAAAATACATTTTGAACCAATCTGGGTTTAGTTTTCTGCACATCAAGTGTCATTTTAAATTTGCACTCCAGGACAACTCTACAATATCGTGCATAAAACTACTCAAAATGCCTACCGGTCCGACTGTTCACGCTCAGTTGATGTGATAGGCTGCGTTCTAAACCTCTCAGATGTCTTTCTATTCTCAGTAGGACATATATACCGCAAAGGGCGACGAGATGAGCGATCTTTGACTCTCTCACTTCTCCAGGGTGCATGTGTATCTGGAGGCACCTCTTCTGCCCTATTATGTCACAAAGCATGACTGAAAGAGGCAGCATTGAAGAATGGCAGGTGCACAGGCAAAATGCTAATGCCGGATGAATATTTAATCTAAGCATCCTCATAGTGGGTTAAACTAACTAATGAAAACCCTACAAACATAAAAAGTGGTTAAGAACTATTTTGTCAGAACAGCTAGCATAAATTCACACATTGTCTCTAGAAATACAAAGCTGCCAAGCCAAGGTAAGAAGAAAGACAGGCAGAAATGGTTAATTATTACTGGCAAAGTGTGCACTAGACAAGCCGAACAGCATGATGGCTGAAAGAATAGGGCATTAAAATCTGCTGGTCAGCTTTGAATGAGTGATTCCTCTGTAAGATCGCAATGTCTCTTCTAATATTTAATTCTCCAAGCAGTTACATAAGATGAGATTGATTAACTGCATGTTAATCAGCAATGTTAGATAATGTTAGTAAGTCGACACATAATGATAATGTACCACCACCTACAGTTCGGCTTTCCGGGGACTCGCAACACTTTCCAGGTAGGTGTGGCGGAGTTGGGCAACTGAAACCCTTGCATCATGGGATAGGGGATCACCATTAAGCACTTTCTCCTGACGGACAGGCTCTCTGATTGGGTTCTGGATGGCATTCTGTTGGACATTTCCAGTATCCAAAGGTTTTGGCATATATCTCCCACTGGAGGTCTGGATTGGGGCGTAGCAGCTAGCGTCAGTCCTTCTATGGGCCTCTCGAGCTCTTGCTTGCATAGACTCTGTGGCCTGAAGTCGGGACACATGCTGTGTGTAAACTTCCCGTCTTGACTGACCTCCACGGCGCCCTCTGGGGTCATCTGCAATATCCTCCCTTCTGTGCCAACTGATGCCAGGGTTTACCTCTACGTTGTCGGTACTTCCTTGGCACGGGTCTTCAGTGCGCCGTTCTTTCCGATGAATTTCAGAAGGTAAAACTGCCTTTCTGCTCCACAGGAGCCCCACTGTCCTCACATCCTGTTTTCCCTCTGGTTCAAGCACTTCTTGAATCTCTTGTTTATGCCTGAAAGCGGATTCACTGCCCATAGAGAAGTAGCTCTGGCACCCTAGGTTATGGCGTTCCTCTTGTCCAGAGTGGGTCAGCGGCTGTTTGGCTGGAGCATCAGGTAGGTTCCGATTGTGAGGGTGATATCGAGGGTATGATTGGGGAAACTGGTTGTATGCAGGTCCTTCTGCTGTTTGACCCCTGTGAAACGGCTCATCACGGGCCAGTCTCTCCCTAACTCGGATTCTTCAGAAGAAGAGAAAAGGGTTGGTTACTTAGACTTAAAAGAGATATTAACTGGCTCTGCAAAAGAAGAAATAAAAACCAGAACCATTTCATGGCCCTGGAAGTGAGCGAGTGGAAGCAAGAAATTCTGATCCAACCAAAACTACCCAAGACACAGAACCAGTAGAAGTAACTCAGTATGGTTTGTGTTCATAGCCGCGGGAACGTATTTTGTCCAGGGGGGGCTGAGAAATAAAACTTGTGGGGGAGGGGGGGTCACGTGACAAGAGTGATGCGAGAAGACACACTATGATGGCAGATCCAAAAGAGTTACTTTTAATAAAACTTTAATTTCTTCGTTTAATAGCGTGTAAGTGAGTGTCTTTATTGTTGCTGGGTTTTTCATTAAAAAAATTAATACAAAATAACAATGAACCACAAACTAAGCATTCATTTTAAATAAGGGAAAATACCTTATATATTTGGGTTACAACGCAAGGCTATATCTTATTAATTTTGTTAATAAAAGTTAGATGTTTAATATATGCGAATTTGCCATTGTACTATTTTATGGCTGATGTGTTTTAATTAAGATAATAAATCACAAACTATGATCGTTTTAAGGTAGCCTGAGGGGAAATCCATATTCATTTTGTTTAGAAAAGTTCAGTTTAATATTGGTGAATTTATCATTGTACTAGGCTATTTTATTGTATAGCCTTTTTCTTATTAATAATAATGAGCCATAAGCATTTGTTTAAAGTAAGGGGGAAATCCAAAAACCTTTCATTTGTGTTACAACGTAGGTACATCAGTCTTATTCGTTCTGTTCATAAAAGTTTTATGTTTAATATAAGCGACTTTGTCATTGTAGCATTGCTGATGTTGTGTGTGTGTGTGTTTTCATTAAGAGTAGGCCTAATATTGAATCAATCTTAAGCATTCGTTTTTTTTTCAAGAATAGGAAAGACCTA